CCATCTGGTTAAGACGTGCCTCGTCTGCCGGAAACAAAAATGAGTCGACCAGCTTACTCATGGTAGTCGCATCAGAGTAAGTTGATGCATTAGTCAGAATCGTGATGGTAATTGTCCCAGCCTCCTCATCCATAACTGCGATTTGGGACGATCCGGCTCCAGCTGCAGGCTGCTGACTCGATGGCTGCTGACTCAACGGCGTCGCTAACACATCATCTACCCTCCTATCCTCCCTGGCTAAGGACTCCCTCCTCTTCTTCTCTCGGCGCCGGGCGATAGATTCACTCGCGCTCGGGACAGTCAACTTTTTCATCAGCGATTCTGCAAGTGCAAATTCTCCAACTGTTAGTGGGTTCAGCCCAGACTCACCAAAAATGATATGGTTGCAGTATTGGCTTAGAAGCACATCCCAAGTCTGCTTCTGCGAGGGGAAGGGAGTACCTCTCCGTATCGCCTCTGCTCCGGCCCAAAGAATGCTGGTCCTCAGGTTGGACTCTGCTAGCACTACTCGCCAATCTCTCTGCTCTAATGGGATGGCTAACACTCTCTGGGTAGCTACGTCCAAGCCGTCCCCGCTCTGCCCAACACGATTGAACTCAAGCTGTATAAACAAAAAACACAATCAAGATTTAGTAATCAAAAGTACGAAAGAAACAATTAAGTCCTCACCAGTAGCTCACCAGGTAGAAGAATCGGTCCTTCCAGTTCTTATCACTGGATCGTAGGTCGGTCACCAAGTGAGACCGATCATGCCTCAAGTTCAACAGATACCGACCCTTCTCTTTATCGTTCTCCTTCAAGAAGTACGAGTACAGCAGCTTGTGCAACCCGAACCTCACTTGGTTCTGAACACAAAGGTCTTCCAAAGCCATTAGCAATCTCCAAGCATTCGGCATAAGCTGAGACGGGGCAATCATGAAGTGGTTCAATACCTCCCACATGAGGCGAGGGACGGGTAGCCTCAACCTATCGTGAAACCACTTCTCATAAATACTGATCCAGCCTTTTCCCTCCTAGTCAACCCGCTCGTACGACCGCGGTATCCGGATGTCAACCGAACTTGGAATGTCATACAACGTCCGGATGCGCCACACATCACTATCTTTCAAAACGGGCAGATAGTCTCTAGTCAAAATCCCGCTGCCTTGTTGGCTCGGCTCTTCCCTAGAGCCACTATCGGAAGAGGATGGACTACCAACTCTTTCGAAGTCTTCCCCACTTCCCCCATGCCTACCCGAACCATTTGGACTGAGAATACTCGTACCTAGGGCTGCTACACTAACTCTAGTAGACACCCCAATCGGGACGCCCTCTTCGGGCATCATCACTATGGTGGGGGCATGCTCATACTCATCCCCAACATCTACCACAATTTGACATAGTGGCCCAATCGCCCCACCGGACTGACCGACTCGATCTTAGATTCGAAATTCACAACTATCGAAGAAACACTCGCTCTGTGGTCCGAATGAAGATACTACACCCAGCTGTCGATCGCCCTTCAACACCGGTCAACCAACCCGGCCACACGTCAAACTGCTAAACCTCGGTCGACCCTATGCACCGACTGGTCGGCCCGACCTGTAACTTCGAACCTCAAAGAAGTCCAAAGTGTCACGTGGCCGATCGCCCGTTCCACCCGACTGAGTAAGGCCATAAACACCCAGTAGTCGCTCATCCCCCAACACCGATCGACTTACCAGGCAACGAGTTCACCCCTAAGCCCTGGTCGACCCTTCCTACCGACCAACCCAGATCTTGAGTCGAACCTTTCTTCGCCCGCCCAAAGTGGTCGACTCACCTTCAAATCCAACACGGCCTACTCGCCCTTGCCCTCCGAATAACCAACTCAAAATCGCCCACTCAGTCTAGGTAACCGATCGCCTATTCAATCTATTCCGCACGCCCCTCCCCACTCGGTCAGACAGACCGACCGACCGACCGAGCCAAATGAAACTTAAATTGGCTTCGTCTTCCCAATTTCGTCCAAAACGCCCAGAACGCCACCAAAAAACCAGCCAACTTGCTAGAAACACACCAGAAATCCAAAAATCCGAACCTACTCTAGAAAACCAAAATGCCAACACTCCTAAACTCTTCAAAACCCGTTAAAACTACTCAAGTTTTCAGAAAACTTAACCCTATCATCCAAAACCCAGCAAACAATGAAAACAAACCAAAAAATTAGTCCAAAGGAAAGGGGATTTACCGTAAAACACTAGACTGCAGACAGAAAGTCGTTGTCGTTAAAGAGAAACCAGAACGAAATCGAAGAAACGAAAAGAAAAGAAAATTTTTTGAAGAAAAAAAGGGAGAAAAATACAAAGTGGAAGATGAACAGTCCACCCATTCGTTTTTAAAGGGAAAAACTAACAGGCGAGGACACGTGGCGGCCCGCGATTGGCTGCAGGTCAAAATGCCTTTTCATTTTCCCGCCTAAAAAAAAAGATCTGATCCTCGTCGAACACGTGGCAAGCATCCGTGGCGCCTGGGAAACTTCAACGACATACGGAAGCTTGAATCGACCGCCCAGACTTGCTGACCGACTCAACACATGCCCGTCGGTGGACTCTACAAACCCCACGAATCATAGGTTCAGGAGGCCCCCCCGACTGGTCGATCGACTGGGAATGATCCAGCTCGAGCTCTCGCCCAGTCGTTCTTTCGCAGCGGACCAGTGGACAACCAATGTCAAAGCTCGCATATCCCATCCACTCAATCGCCCGATCCCCCCGACCGATTCAGTCCTCAACTTCCAAAGGCATTCTAAATGCCACATGCTTCGCCGGCCCGGAAGGCTTGGCATGCCGGTCGATCAACTTGGAATGGCCCGATTCGAGCCCTCTTCAGGACAAGGCAGGAGGCCTCGCCTGTGCATCCTTCCATAGCGAACGAAGGAACAGTCTTCAGTCGAGGTGCATGTCTCATCCACTTGATCGTCCATGCATCCCGACCGAGCGAATATTTTTAGATAAATAAACTCCCTACCTCACTCAACCCAGCATGCCGAGCGAGCATCCAGGCTGTAGAATGATCTTTCCTCTCCAATCGGTCGGACGTACCGAACGATCCTGTGAGCTCCGGAACTTGCTTCTCTTACCCTTCGGCCCCTCACACTGATCTAGCACACCACCTTGCAATGATGGCCTACTCCAGATCATGTACGGATACCGAACGACACCTGACCAAGAGTCTACCTGCAATAATCAGTTTATCCACACTGACAATTGTTCGTCCACGAAGAAAGACCGAGCTCGCCTCGATCGCTACCTACTCTCCGACTTAAGAAACTCTTAACTCAGAGAGTGGAGGACAAACTGTTAGGGCCAAAAATCGTCCTCGGCCCAAATAAGAAAGCAGGACCATTTGTGAAGAGAAGACCAGGCCTAAATCCCAAAGAGGCCCAAGCTAGATTAGTCCCATTCAATACGAGATACGGCTTGCCCAAACCATCTGGGCACGAGCCTCCCAGTCCCAGTTCACTTCTTGGGTCTATAGGCGAGTTCCGAGCCCACGGCCCACTGATCATATTCCTATTCCTGATCAATCTCCTACTCGAAGTCATTTTCCTGTTCATAACACTTTCCTACTCGAAGTTACTTTCCTAATCAGAATCGCCTTCCTATCCGGACACTGGTAAGACAGCTTACCACGACCCTAATTCTTCTAGGGTTTGCATCAGAGTCACATTAGGACTCCTACTCCCACCAGGATTGGGAGACCAGGCAGTCATTATATAAACAGAGGCTAACCCTCTCACAAGGGACACACTACATTACACATTCACACCCGAAGCTCCTAATTGAGAGCTTTACATCACCGCCGTAGTCACAGTCTCCGACTAGACTTCTGGTAACCTCTTTACTCCCTAGCCCTCACTATACTAGCCTCTTTCAGCCTTGCTGACTTGAGCGTCGGAGTGCCTATGGCAAACACCATGCCGGTGTTTCCTGTTCACTTCACGCGTTTGTTTTTCTACGTGTGCAAGTACAACGGATCGCTAGTGGCCTCAACCTCACGAGATCAGACCCCATTTCTGTACAGGTAGATTTTTATGTCTGTAGGCATCAAATCATTTTATTTCAGTCCAAGAAATTATCTAGTTGTTATTTTTCAAAAAATGAATGGACAATTGTGATTCATGTGCACGCTTTAATAAATTGAGAAATTCAAAAGTACAAATCTATTAGAGATGCTTTGAGTTAAGATATAAGAAATTAAAAAAATTAAAAGTTAAGGGGACACGTGCCCCTTTTTGTTTTGTTTGTAGCTGCACTATTGCTGTTATTCACACGAGAAAAGCAAACATAGACCCTCTTTTGTCTTCTCAAAACCAGTTTTGAAATAAATAAATAAGAGAGAAAATAAAATATTTAAAAGTTAAAGTTAATTAAGGAGGTTTAAATTATTTTTTAGAAAAAGGAAAAGAAAAAGAAAACAGATGGTGGTAACAAAGCAAATAAGGAAGTAAATAAAATATTTAAAAAATTGAAGCAATCAATGACCTTGAAGTTACTTTTCTTTTTGAGAATATTACATTCGCGTAAATAACATTAATTTATTTTAGATATAATCAAATAAAAAAAATCTTCTTATAATTATAAAAATATTCATTAACCTATTTATATAAATGGTAAAGTGATAATTTGATAAATATTTAGTAAATTATTGAATATTTATGCAATTTCTGAAATTTCATAAAAAAGTTTATTATTTGATTCGGGCCAGATATATTAACCAAATCCCAAATTTATTTAATTTATGAAATTTTATAGAAAAGTTTATTATTTATCAAAAGTTCATGAAATCCTGAAATTCATTAACTAAATCCGAGGAACCGCCAGTTTTAATTCCGGTTCCGTAGGATGTTAAATTGATATATCCAATTTTTTTATTGTGCTTTTCACTGCTGATGTCAAGTACTATATGACATCAACTACTACACTTTCTCTTGGCTAATGACAGTTTATATGATCATCTTGCTCATTCCAGTACAAAAATTGCTACTGTTATTTCCATAATCGGAAGCAAGAACGTAAAGCAGGTGTCAAGAAGCCACCTAATTAAGGAATGGATACGAGCAGGTTGCGGAGGCTGCAGAATTCAGCCGCAGAAGGAGATGTGGCTGCATTATTTTCAATAGTTGCGGAGGATCCATATGTTTTGGAGCGTATTGATGAGATACCATTTGTCACTACTCCCTTACACACAGCTATAAGCGAGGGAAATATCCATTTCGCTAAGGAAGTGGTAAACTTAAAGCCAACACTTGCTTCGAAGCGTGACCATCTTGGCCGTAGCCCCCTTCATTTGGCTTTGGAGGCGAAGAAGCTGCAGGAAGGGCGTAGTCCCCGTGACTTGGATTTGGAGGAGAAGTACCAGGAACTGATAACATGGTTGATAGAAATTCACCCTGAGCTTGTCCGTGTGAAAGCAAAGGGAATGGTTACTCCTCTGCACTACGCAGCTCAAATAGACGATGAATTCAATTTGGCTGATTTTTTGTATGTTTGTCCATCATCTATCAAAGATTTGACAGTTAAATGTGAAACTGCCGTCCATGTTGCCCTCAAAAACAGGAGTATTGAGGCTTTTAAAGTATTGTTAGGATGGCTTCGACACTTCGACCAAGAAGAGGTCCTAATTTGGGAGGACGAAGATGGAAACAACGCATTGCATACTGCAATTTCTGAAAATCAACCTCAGGTAACTAAGCTCTTTTTTGGCAAATAATAAACTTTACCTTCTCTCTCTTTTTTATTTAATTTTATTTTCTCCCTTGAATTGTCCTTATCTCCTTCATATAACAAAGGCGGTGAAGCTGTTGATCAGATATATGAACGTAAATAGAAAGAACGGAAAGGGATTGAGAGCCTTGGACATTTTCTACGATCGCCAACAGTCGTTGAATTCAGAAATTGGGCAAATTTTACTTGGTGCTAAAGCTAGAAGAGCATCTGAAGTAATCCGTTGTCGGTGTAACGTTGGAAAATCAGTTGAAAAACTATTAATTAAAACTTTCTTCGGCTACAAAAAATCACTTGTCGACTACTTATGCGGAGAATTAGTATTAACGGAAGTAATTATGAAACACGTGAGGCTTGGTGACCGAATCATTAATAGAATTCCTCTTGAAGCCCAAAACGTGATACTTGTGGTGGCGATATTGACTGCGACAGCCACCTACCAAGCTGCTCTCAGTCCCCCGGGAGGACTTTGGCAAGACGACGGCGACGAGGCAACGAACAACAAGACTACTGCTACCAGTAACACCACAAATACAACCCACAGCAGTAAAAATTTTCCGGGTTCACTCACCAACTTGATTTTTAAAGCGCGATCAGAACAAATTGCGGGGCATATGGTTCTGGGGTCTTTATATCATTTAAATTTCATGTTATTTAATACGGTGGCTTTTTCTACGTCTGTGTGCACAATTATTATTGTCACAATTGGGCTCCGTTTTTCCCAAATCATTGGCCTATCCACAACTTTGATCGTGATTGCTTATTGTTTTGCGCTGACAGAAACCTCCCCCTTCCCATTTGGTTCAGTTTTATGGTATTTGTTTTGTATATTAGTGACTTTAATTGGAGGTGCGGCATATTTTATTCCACTCGTTTTATTTCTCCGAGAGCGGCTGCTTAAATTTTACGGGCGGGGGAAACTACGTCTGGGAAGCTTGGAACAACCAAAGATGTGAACAACCAAAGAGGCGTTAGAGACTTTATATTATGTTAAGGAGCTCGTATTGTAGTTTTGTGATGCTTTATCTTTTGAAAATGCATAGTTTTATATTATACATTTTTCCTTTTAAGGAGACTGATGTTTGTTTTTGTTTTTTTCGTAAGTAATGTTGGCTGTCCTTTGGTAACATCTGCAATGGAACTTGAGTTTTACAGAGCCACCCATGTCCATGTGCATTGTTGACAGAGACCGAGAAAGAGTACTATTAATTAATTAGATGCATAGATAACTCCTCTTCTTTAAGTAAGTTCAGCTTAATTTAATTAGTCAATAATAATGCATCGCTTACTTTGATTAAACAGCTCTTAGTGCGAGTCTTTTGGAAGAGATAAGAAACCATTAATCATATGAACATCTTCCTTCACCTTGTATTCTATGTCTGACAAAGATGATCCACTAACTTCCCTGTTATAACCAGTTGATCCGGTTATATACAATTATACAAATGGCTCTTGATTTTTCACTTAACTGGAATGCCTATGTTGCAAGCCTTGACTCCAAGAAAAATTAATAGAAATGAAAATTGAATTCAATTTTCAACTCAAGAAGTAACAGTCATGGTTACTCCTGTGCACTACACAGCGGATAATGTTTCCAAGGTTTGCAACTAAATGTGAAACTGCTCTGCATGTGGCCATCCTGGAAGGTCCGAATCCAGGCCTTGCGATCGAACCAAAACTAGACCCAACACTTTTAAAATAAAAGAAAAGTGCGGATTCAAAAAGTGAATAGTGATTTATGTGGCCTTGTTAGAACAAATGTATACGTGAATGGAAGTGGAAACGCCGAGCAATTCACTTTGGTTCTATCTCACCTTGGATTTTCATATCGACTTGTTCTATAGCCACCGCTACATTGTTGGGCCTAGGCTCTATTACATTGATGCTTCACTATTAAGGTAAAAGAAGTTTTAGCAAATTCGAGCCAGCAAGGCCTAGAAGTGCATTATGAGCTAATTTGGAATTACTGTAACTTTAATAAGTTTTAGTTCAGTTTTTGAAATATTCAGTTTTGAAAATTATTTGGAATTTTTTTGGTAAATATAACATTTATAATGGCTATGATTTTCAAAATCTATGATGGTGTGTTTGGTAAATTAATTTTCAAACCATTGGTGTATGTATAATTACCAAAATAGACAATTTATTTCTTAAAATACTTTTATAATTCTAAATATGTATTTTGTTAAATATTTAAAAATGTACTAAAAATTTGTTAAATAAATTATTAATAATTAATAATTCAAAAAGTTTTAAAAATTAGATTTGGACAGTAGTCAACTGCTGGTCAATGTTGGTCCAACAGTCAACTCCTGTCAAGACTATTAATTTAAATAATTAATAAATTGTTAGTGCATTCATCGTTTACACTGTTGAATAGATTGATCAACGATTTATCTATCGACGATGTCGTTGCACTTGCCGTCGGATCTGATGATGGTTTTCTGGCGACATTGTTGGTCATTTCTGATTTTGGTTTTCAAAGTTTTCATTGAAAAAGTTTATTATTATTTATTTGAATTTTTTAAAAATATTTCAATAATATAACTTTTTTCTAAATACTCAATTTTTTTATTAAATATTTAATATTGTGTTACACCAAACACGTACAATATTAAGTGTACTCTCCAATCCAATCCTATTAATAATTTAAATCTTTTAATTGACTTATAAGCTTGAATTCTATTTGTTGAAATTGCGGCTGCATTTTTACTTAATTTGGTTCATTCACAACTACCGGAGACGTGACTGTTGGTTAGTACTATAACTGGGATTGTTTTTTCCATGGTCAGAAGCAAATAAAACAGCTGTCAAATAGCCACCTTGGGCATGAAAGACGCGGTTCAGAGGCTGCAGGATTCTGCCAAAGATGGAAACGTGGATGCCTTATTTTCAATAATTGAGTGGAATCCAAATGTTTTGGACCTTATTGATGAGAAACAATCTGTGAATACTCCTTTACACACAGCTGTAAGCGTGGGAAAGATCCATTTTGCCAAGGAAATAGTAAACTTAATCTATCATTTGCTTGGGAGCGAGGCCATCTTGGGCGTAGTCCCCTTCATTTGGCTTCGGAGGAGAAGCGCCCGCTGGAAGTGGGGTAGCCCCGGTGATTTGGATTTGCAGAGGACGTACCAGGAACTGGTAACGTGGTTCATAAAATCTGACAGTGAGCTTGTCCGTGTGAAGGCAAAGGGGTTGGTTATTCCTTTTGCACTACGCAGCTGACATAAATAATGATTCCAATTTGGCTAATTTTTTGTATATTTGCCCTTCATCTATCAGAGATTTGACAGTTAAGAGGTGAAACTGCTGTCCATGTGGCCGCCAGAAACAAGAGTTTTAGAACTTTTAAAGTGTCACTTGGATGGATTCGACACTTCCACAAAGAACAAATGCTAAGGTGGGAGGACAAAGGTGGTAATAATGCCTTGCATATGGCAACATCTACAAATCGACAATTGCATGTATCATTATTTGCTTGCTCCTTTGGAAACTTTGCTGTATTTACTGGCACTTGGCTTCTGTAAGATGAAGGATGAAATTTTTTGGTGGGATAAATTGTAATAATTCATCGATAAGAATCTTTGCCTTCTCATTTTCTTTACATTATAAGTTTATAACTTGTCATTTTCTCCTAAAAAATAAAGGTCGTGAAGCTGTTGATTAAATACATGGAAGTAAATATAAAGAACCGTCAAGGTTTGACAGCTTTAGACATTTTCGATCGCATGGTTCGGCTGAATCCAGAGGTTGGGAAAATTCTACTTACTTCTAAAGCTAAAAGAGCTTCCCACTCCAACAAAAGTTGGAAGCTTTTGTCGTGGATTCGTGGTCGAACAAAAGTTGGAAGGGTTTGTCTACCACATATTTTAAAAAGATTGGGTGAGCAAGAATTATATATTACTATCTTCTTCTTTGCATATACACAATTTAATGATTATTAGGAAAAAAGAAGAAGTTAAAATTAACTTTTTGTGCCAAATCATCAATTTTGAACCATAAAATTGTAGTAGATGGATAACTATTGATTAATGTCAGAAATTAAAATAAATATAATCTGATTAAATTTACAAAAAGTAATTTAAAAATACTGAATTTAAAAAACAACGGATAAATGATTGCAACTTAGACAAAATACAGAATTTATTAAAGATATGAATAATTATAAAATAGAGTCACAAAATTAAATTAATATAATATAAAATAATAAAAACAACAAACAAATGATTTCAACATACATATATATTACTTATTGTCACTTTAATTTACTCTCAAAATAAAGGTTAACAAAAAATAAGTTTGTTAAAAAAGAATAAAATCTCAAGAATTCTTATTGATTTTTATATGTAAGAGTTAACTTCCGAACACTTGAGCTTCTTCTAGGCAATACAAATGTATACTCAATGGTGGACCTCCCCAATGGCCTTGGGGAAATGGCCATCCCTGTAAATATGTCAATTTCAACTCTTAGACTTTATTTTTTACCCTCTTGCTATTTAAACATCAATTTTGACCCCTTAAATCCAAATTCTTAACTATAAATTTTTTCTTTGGTACCCTTATTAGTTATTTGGCCCCCAAATGTAGTTTCTTGGTTCTGCTCCTATGTATACGTGAATGGTAATCAAAAAATGCATGGTCCAATAGGTAAGGTTTGACAACTTTGGCCATTTTCTATTATTGCCAAGATTCGATAAATACAGAAGTTAGGGAAATTATACTTGGAGCTAAAGCTAAAAATGCATTCGAACTCAGTTCTTGGCCTAACTTTAAACTAGATACACTATTAGTTGGCACTTTATTCGGTTTTGAAGGATCACTTGTCGACTACTTATGCAAGGAATTACCAATTCTGGAATTAATTATGAAACACATAAGGTTGGTGATCCAATCATAGACGAACTTCCTCCTGAAGTCCACACCATGTAAGCTTTATTGATTGCCACCGCCACCTACAAATTAGCATAATTTAGCATATGAATCACTTGCCTCATATGAAATATAGGAAATTTCATTGACTATAATCATATTTTAGATTGAACCATCCATGTTTATGCATAAACTGATATATAAAGCATATTAATACTAATAATTTGTGGACTCTTTGAAGTAAATTAAACTAATTGAACGAGAACTATCCATGTAAATTGATTGACCAAAAAATTGTATCATCAATTATTGAGAGTATTTTTTGCTTTGTAATGGAATCTCCTCTTTCCTGACCCCCTTCTCTGTCTTTCTTCTTAATTTTGTTCCCCAATTGATTAACTTAATTTAAAAGAAAGAGTATTATTATATAGCACTTAATTATGAGGGAACCCTGTGTATTAATTTATAAGAACCTGGCCACGATATCTGTTAAAACTAATTGATATATAGAAGCAAATTGTGTAGTTATAATAATATAACAAATGCTTTGATTTTCATTAATTTTTGTCTAAATTAATTAATTGCAAACCCTAATTACACACTTGTAAGATCTATCATTTTTTGAATTTGTATTAGAATATTATTTTTATTCTAAATAGACTGTGACATGAGTGGCTCATATGCCACTTGATAACAATGGGAAATGGCGGCATTGAAGATTGTGGAAGTTGGCTGCAGTGTTGGAAAGTGGATTCGGGAACAATTTAGCCGAAAAGCAGATTCGCTACAGCCAATCCAATTTTGCTATAGCGAATCCAGTTACTCCTTTGATTTCATGCTTAAACTTTCCCCCTTGGGTGAACCACGTATATGTTATGTTCAATTAAATCCCTCACTCAAAATTTTCTCATGTTTTGTGATTGTTTGTCAAGACACCTAATTGTTTATTGGGTGTTTTTCCAGCGAAATAATGTGAGGTTAAAAGTGGTAGAAGAAGCCATCTAATTGGTCTTCGATTGGTATCTATTTACATCAACTTGGGTCAAATTTATAATTGCATAAACCAACTTTTAATTGTGATATATGCATGGGCTTAAGTCAATTTTAATTAATTCTATAA